GAACCCAAGGGAACAATAACAAAGCAATAAATAATACAGTGACCAAAGATTTTGGGTAATATTCACAAATCTCAAGAATATGCTTAATTGTACGTCCAGTTAAAATGGTTCATCATTAGCAGTTTAACTGATAGATACACATAGACGAGGCGAATTATGTTGGTAGTTTTTATTTTAAACAAAACTAAATATTCCCATAATTTATTCAGAACAAAATATTTAGAGCGAACAATTGTTTTCAATAAATTCTTCTTCAGGCTCTACAATTATAAATCCATTAATGTAAGCATACAATAGCCAGTAAAGGCGAATTAGAATCATATCAGAAAGTGTATTGTGGAACAAGTATAAGATGGGATGAAACAATAGTCATATAGTCATATAGTTTTTTAATATGCATGGACAATAACAACGTGGGACAGAAGGAGATGAAATAATTTAATTTAATGATGTATATATATATATATATATATATATATATATATATATATATATATATATATATAAATATAGTTGACAGAATATACAGGTTTCAAGGGTGAGTGTAATCAGGGTGTGTGAGGCAATATGAAAATAAACCAACGAATGGGGCGGTCTAGACTTAAGTTCAAGGTTGGGCCCTCTGCTAGCGGATATTTTCCTGGCAAAGCTTGAAAATGGTCCACTCAAAGACACGATTAAAGGGTTTGACTATTATTGTCGATACGTAGATGATACGTTTATCGTTTGTAATAGAAATCTTAATAAACAAGAGCTTCTGAATACCGTTAATAGTGTTCACCCAACTATTCAGTTTACATGTGAAGAAGAAGACAATAACAGTTTACCTTTCCTAGACGTCCTACTTACCATGAAGACAGATGGATATCTACAAAGGAAATTATTTAGAAAGAAAACTTGGACGGGTCAGTACACCCATTTCCATAGTTTCACACCGATTCAGCATAAAAGAAACTTAGTTAAGTGTCTTAGCTACAGAATAAAACGAATATGCTCAGAGGAATGCATTAAGGAAGAAATGCATAAACTAAAACTCACACTGCAAGAGAATGGATATCCACAGAGCTTCCTAAGAAAGTATATGTCAATACCTATAGACAGGGAAAAGGTGGATACCGTAGACAAGAAACCTTTGTATCTTAAGTTAAGTTACAAAGGGGAAATTGCAGCTGACATTCTAAAGTGTCGACTCAATAGAGCAATAGATAGAACATTTCCCGCAGCTAAATTGGTACTAAACTTCTCAACTAAACCAGTACTCACACAGCAAGTAAAGGATAAATTACCAAAGATGGCCTCATCAATGTGCATCTACGAATTCAACTGCTCATGTGGAGCTAGTTATATTGGCCGTACTCAGAGGGCTTTATCCATGCGCGCACGTGAACATGTACCTGTATGGTTGAGTAAAGGAGTAACCAAAGGCATAAATAGTGCAGTCTTAGCCCACTTGGTAGATACTGGACACCGGATAAAACTTGACCAAGCGTTCTCAGTTATTTACCGTGTTCCTAGTAATTTATCTAGAGGAGCTCGACTACGTCTTCTATCAGTAGCTGAAGCAGTTGCAATTAATACCAGAAGACCATCCCTCTGCATACAGAAGAAGTATGTTCAACCTCTATGTTTACCTTGGCCTACAATAAAGCCAACAAATCCTCCATTAACACTATAAATTCCTTTCGCGATTTTCTTTTCTTTTCCTTCTTCTATTCCTCTGTTTCATTGACAAACGTTCATTTTCGACTTTTATAATTTCATGACCTTTCTTATGATTTTATTACCTTAGGTTTAAATAGTGCTTTTCTAACTTACTATCGTATTTACAAAATCCTGTTCATTCCACTTCATTATATTCATTATTATTATTTGATAATCATTCACCAATAGTACATTTAATTTTAATTTTACACCATATCATCGTTATTATTTTACAATCATTCTTATTGTTGTTATTTTCAACCTTGAACTTAAGTCTAGACCGCCCCATTCGTTGGTTTATTTTCATATTGCCTCACACACCCTGATTACACTCACCCTTGAAACCTGTATTTTCTGTCAACTATATTTATATATATACACACATCATTAAATTATTTCATCTCATTCTGTCCCATGTTGTTATTGACCATGCATATTAAAAAACTATATGACTATATGACTATTGTTTCATCCCATCTTATACTTGTTCCACAATACACTTTCTGATATGATTCTAATTCGCCTTTACTGGCTATTGTATGCTTACATTAATGGATTTATAATTGTAGAGCCTGAAGAAGAATTTATTGAAAACAATTGTTCGCTCTAAACATTTTGTTTTAAACAAAACCTTTTTTTAAGTCCTTTAGAGAAAAGCTACTTCATATGTGGAAACGGAGAAAGAGTGAAAAACATCTTGACGACACACACACTGCTGAATGTTTGTAGTTTGTTTGTAAGGCTACGCCTAATGATAGGAACCCTATCGACAACGTATTCGTGAGGCCATGCCCATAGTATAAGAAGCAAGATTTCGACTTTTTGACGTGAATTTCAAGTCAATCAGTGCTTCTGTTTGATTCACACTCTCATGAATAGCTGGATATTGGAGATCAGATAGTAGCGGGCCAGCCAGAAAGAATAAGACGTACGCTGAAGGGACCATTGATTGACATCATGTAACGTATTTAGCCCAAACTTCTGAAAGCTGGAAAAGCAGCTGGACCAGATGGAATACCCCTTGAAGCACTGAAAGCAGACCCAGAAACGACAGCAGACATGCTGACTTCATTATTGCAAAAGGTCTGGAAGGAGGGAAAGGTGAATACTGACTGGAGGAAAGGTTACCTTGTGAAACTATCAAAGAAGGGAGACTTACGCCTCACTCTGCAAGAACTGGCGAGCATCCATGCTCCTGTCGACGCCAAATAAAATCTTGAGTCGCATCATCCTGGAGAGATTAAGGGACGCACTGGATACAGAACTCCGACCAGAACAAGCTGGATTCAGAAAAGGCAAATCATGTACTGACCAAATTGCAACTGTACGCATCATCACAGAACAAAGCAAGGAATGGCAATCAAACCTCTACCTCAACTTTATAGACTTCGAGAAGGCCTTCACCAGACAGCGTTGACCGCGAAGTAATTTGGAAATCAATTGAGTACTACGGCGTACGGTGCCCAAATATTCATCAACCTTATTCAACAGCTCTACGACAACGGCACATGTCAAGTGATCCACAACGGGAAACTCAGCGAGGCTTTTGGAATAAACACAGGAGTCAGACAAGGGTGCTCATTATCACAAATGAGTGATATTCGTAATTGTGGTGGACTGATTGTATTACGCGTCAGACAGTGGGAAACGAGAACACAGGGATATTCTGGCCCTACCGACGTGAAGAACATAGAAGACCTGGATTTCACGCGTGTATGATTTATGTTTGATTTCGCACAAAATCGAAGACTTACAAGCGAAAACCGACCAACAAACTGATCGAAGAAGCAGCCGGCGAAGACAGGACTCCAGGTGAACATAGACAAGACGGAGGTTATGAAAATAACCAATCAACCAACAACAGCAACAACAGAACAGCAACATTCAGAGCCAATCACCATCAACGGGAGGGATTTGAAAGAGGTTACTCCATCCACTCACCTATCTAGGGAGCATTGTCTCAACTACAGGCAGTCGGAACGGACGAGGATGTCAAATAGGGTGAGAGTCGGGAAGGCGAGCGAGAAACACATTCATCAACCAACCTGAAACCAATCTTCATCACTCAGCCAGCATCAACAACAAAATTCCGTAGGATTTTCAATACAAACAGCGTCAAGTCAGTCAGTTCTTTTTTCTATACGGATCAGAAAGTTGGCGGGCGGGTCACAAAGAACAGGTATTTCCAACAGCCTGTTGCAGACGTTACCTTAATCAACCAACAACTGTCTTCGCTGTCTCTATACTGAAGATCGGATCAGATGGCCGGGGCGGAAAGAATCACCAACAACAAGAAACTATGGGAACAAACAAACAAACAAAACAAGAACGAATCGCCATCCAACAAATATGCAGGAGAAAGTGGAGATGGATTGGACACTGGCTGAGGAGGCCGCTGGGTGACATCACGCGTCAGGTCACTGCTCGAGTGGGACCAGGCCGAAAGGGAAGCGGCGAGTGGGACTTTAGTGCAAGGGTGACATCTAGGAGATTGTGTAAAGAGGAGTTGAAAGAGTATGGACTAACATGTATGGAAGCAGGTGAAAAGTAATGTAGTATAGTACAGAAGCAAGTGGAGACGTGCAGTTAAAGCCCTATGTTCCACTAGGAACCCAAGGGAACAAAAGTAATAATAATAGTCACGTATTTAGCCCTTAAATGGAAACTGGATGAAAAACGATTAGTTAACCATCTGAGGCTGATATGCACGATGAAATGTGAAAGCAGTTCAACAGAGACAGCTTAAGAAAAGACAGTAAAGAATAGATTGAAATGTAGATAGACGTGCTGTTTAAGTCCTATGCTCTTCTCAAACAAACTCAAGCAAAATAATAATAATAATAATAGCTAAAAAGAGTTTAGTATACGCATAATCAGAGTAGGACGATTATGCAAAAAGCTTAAAACAAAGTGAAGTAAAAACTCTTATGGACTAAAGCTACCTATCCGCCTTTATTTAATGAAGACAGAACGGCTGTGTTGTTTTTTTTTGTAGCCATACAGCTATTCACGTAATTCTTTATTCATTCACGTCTCTATTCTCCTTCAAGTCTCTATTCAACATAGACTCCTTTGTGTGCTTATTATCTTTTTTCCCCTTTGCTAATCCTCTCTGTCTCTTTGTACAGTCGTCCGTGAATAGACTTCAGTGGCGTCAACTGGAAAAGAGAAAAAAATCTACACACACACACACACGAGAAAAGATAAAGGAGTAACATCAAAAGTATGTTGGTCGGATGAATCCTGTTTTTTTTTCTTTTTTTATTTGTCTTCTATTTCATTCACTATTGATCATTCAGGGCCTAGATAAAACGACTACGACTACTATTACTACTACTACTACTACTACTACTACTACTACTACTACTACTACTACTACTACTACTACTACTACTACTACTACTACTACTACTACTACTACTACTACTACTACTACTACTACTACTACTACTACTACTACTACTACTACTACTACTACTACTAATACAAATAAGCCGTCGGTAAACATTTCTTTCCTTTCCTTTTTTCTCCGATCCCACGTTTTTCAATCTCGAGTATTTTTCCTATTCTTTCCGTTCCGAGTGAAGCAGAACTACTTCAAGTTTGAGCTATGTGAAGTAGTAATATTGTCATTATTTCTATGGGAATTGGTTAGGAGGCTAGACTCAATACAAACTCTCCGGTTAGTAAACTATACGATGTTTAGGCTTGTATCGGTTGCGAATCAAATGCCGTGTGTGTGTGTGGGGGGGGGGGTTGCCATCTATAGGAGACGAGTAATCTAGCGTTCAATAAACAACTTGATATATCCGAAAATATTTGGTGGTATGAAGTAATGGTTGATGTGAATAGTGTTAACCGATTCCATGTGATTTTGGATAGCGAACGATCGTTTCTCACTATTCCCTGGATCTACTCATCACTACAAGTTGAATCTAATTCAATGTTTCATTCCTTAGATGCTTATTGAGAAGAGAAGTTGAAAAAACTCACTAAGGAGCTCTGTCGACCGAAGGCCCAAATGGAATGGATAGTTTTCCAGCTTTCAAAGTTGTATCTTTTTGAGTAGATAGAGAAACGTCAGATATATATATATATATATATTCTATTTCCACAAGGATTCGAAAAATATGTACTGAGGAATGTATCAATGAAGGGGTGCAAAATCTTTGAGGAACCTCCTTCCATAACAAGAACCCAAAACCGAAGAAACCTTATGAATACATCCAGGTCTCCCATAAAAAGATGTATCTGCCTAATATGAAATTAAAAAGTGATGCTGAGGCGTAAATTCCTTGAAAATGGCCTTTGATGACAGTCTACACATGAAGGACAAGTTGTCGGATTCGACCATATCAGCATGTATATATACCAGTTCACTTGCTCCTAGTTTGGCTGAGGATATTCATTGGTCATATTATTTTGCAGTCACTAAAAAGACACTCTCAGGAACGCTACTGGCTGGCTAGCAAAGTAAGAAAGTAAGTGTATCAATAGCTCGATAACACAGTATCTGATGAACAAAAAGAACATTCAGCTACGTTTAAAATATCAAAGAGAACGAGGTCAAGATATCTGGGCATAGCTGAGGGAATTTTTTTCCTTAAATTTCCCTAGTGAAATATAGGGCTTCAAGCTAGTGGCTTGAAGTTTGTGTAGCAGTGTTTATTCCTACAGGATGGGGTTGCCAGCCTCATGCCTACCCTTTCCTCTTTACCAGCATTATATCTGGCTTAGAGAGGTAAAGGAGTGCGTCGGTGGCCGGGGATCGAACCTCGGACTATGTGCATGGTTAGCGAGCGTACTAACCGCTATGCCACTCAGTGCAAGTCTCTGATTCGAATAGTAAGTAGTACTGACTTTACACTGGAGTTGAAAATCCGGATCTTATTGACTGCCACACAGACTTGAGAGTAATGAAAGCTTTCCTTGGTTTCCCAATCCTCTCTTTGATATCCTCATTAGTCCTATCTGCCTGAAGTTGAAACGATGCTTCCCAGGTGGGTGGGTAGGTAAAGGATGTTGTTTCTTTCAGGTTCCTCCCATTCATGCTGGCTGATTGTCGTCTGTTGTTGCTGTTAGTATTGCCCAGTAGTCTTCACCACCTCTCTTTCCTCTATGTTCACCTAAAGTCCTATCTTCTCTGGATGCTTCCTATGCCAACTTGCATATTTTCCAGTTTGAATGAAATCAGAAATATATCATCGGCGAAAGTCCAGATCCTCCAAGTGTTTTGTGAAAGTGGGTCCATTTTATGCCTGTCTCCTCGTTGTCTAGCCCAGCCTATAACCCGCAATCAGGAAAATAATTGGAGACGGTAGGCAGCAAGCCAGTCAGCCTTGTTTTACTCCCATCGCCACTTCTTGGAAGGAAACCGTGAGTTTCCCTTTTGTGGATTACTTAGCATGCAGCATTATCGCACAACTGTTGGATGAGATGTATAATTGTTGGCAGCACCCCATAGGACATTTTATATATTCTGATTAAAAAAAATGCTTTTAGGTAATATTGATCCCTCTATCACTGTTTGTATGGGCGTATGTCTGTCTATACCTTCTTTTATTCTGCTTTCAAAACAACAATCCTAAATAGTTAGTCAGTCAGTCAGTCAATCATAATATAATAGAAATGAAAGTGAACACTATTCCATCTGATTACTTTATTTCCTATTTTATTTTCATTTGGGGAGATTTTCACCTTGATAAAAATGTCTAACATCTTAAAATACATCTCATGCAAAGTCAAATGGCAATAGTAAATAGGTGTTCAATCGTGTCACAACTGCTGTCGTCTTCATTATTGTTTAGCTTATTCAACAATGAGTGCTGACATTTTAACCCATTCTGACATCTGACCTTAAAACAATCAGCATTATTGTTATTATTATTATTATTATTATTAAACGTGTTGCATACAAGTGAGTTGTGGTTAATGGTACCCGCATATTTATTTAAAAAACAAAACAAAACATTTCATGCTATTTTTATAAATTGAGTGAGTGAAGTGCCACTTTCATCTGAGGTCATTTGACAACGAAAAATCACAGAAAAAAGTAACTATCAGACAAACAATAGACTTTTTGTTTTCTCAAAAATCAAAAGAAAAAAACCAATTCATTTAATTAAATTTTAGATGGACTCTGAACTCGAGCCTCGACGGGAACATCATTACTCAGGTCCACACAGATGACGAGTCCCAGATAGGACGAAATGCGCGTTGTTCTGGATTCCACTGCTTGCCAGTTACCATCCACCAGTTAACTTCCAAAAGAAATCAATTCACTTTATGAAAGACTTAAACAATTATGAAACTTCCATTCAACTTCTAAAAATAATCACAAGAAATGTCTTCATGACTTGATTACCACTCATTCACATGTTAAAAAAAGAAATAACATTAGAGGAATTGTTTGTCAGGAGAGTGTGTTTGTTTGTGTACGTGTGTGCATGTGTGCGTGTGACTCTGTGATAGTATCTCTTCCCAGTCCACATAGTCCAAAAGTGTCTGAATTCAAGACGAAGATTCACACACACACACACGCAGATATTTAGAAGCAAATTAAGATGTATTAGTGATGTACATGGTTGCGTCGGTGGTACAGTGGCAGAATACTCTCCAACCACACCTCATGTCGCTCGGGGTTCAATCCCCTGCCACCGACGCACTCCTTTACCTCTTTCAGCTAGTAGTGAGACTTGCGAAGAAGGAAGGTTGGGCACGAGAGTAGCAACTCGATCCTGTGAAAGTAAACACAACTGCTATTGAAACTTCAAAGCAGTAGTTTGAAGCTCTTTGTTCCACTGTAATAAAACAAATAATAATAAATAGACCTACACTGAGATGGTTGAGTGGTATCACATTCACAACCAGTCTGTAATCGGATAATTGATTGGAAAGTCTCACCGGAACGACCTGTTTACGACAGCACTACTTATTTGGATATTTCAGCTAACTTTGTTGTTATAATTATTATTATCATCATCGTCCTGTTTTCGTCTACACTTTATATCACCTATTGATTTAATCCTGATTATTGGTCTTTGTTCTTGTGTGAAAACGCTAATCTTAAATGTTGTCTCTCTTTGAGGCTGTAGGATGGTGTTGATAATGTGTGGACTATATGACTTTAGAATGTCTGGTGTTGGTGGAGCGGGGAAGTTCCAGCTGACAGAGTTATGATTTCACCTTGTTGAGAATATTCTTCCTGATTCTCATGAACTTCTTATGGTTGATTTTTTTGGTTAAAAATAAATTTGTTCTACAATAATCGCTTTGTATTTAGACGGTTACTTTGTTTGCATAGCTCTAATGTGGTTACTAAGATAATTTTGAGTTTTAGATATGTCATTGTTGTTAGATTTTACCAAAAATTGTAAATAACTGTCTTTTTGTTCCCGTAGAGGCACTATGAGATTGTGAGTGACTGAAGAAAGGCTTAGGTCAGCTAGGTAGCTATACAGAGGTTACTTCTTTCATTTATCTACGTAATGTCGTCTCAACTACAGTAGGGTTGGAAGAAATGAGGATATATCACAGTCAGACAGGATTGGAAAGGCAAGTTAAATCTTTGTCAGTATGAAACCAGTATGGAAATCTGTTGCATTCAAAATAAACACAACAAAATTTAGATTTTTAACACCCATTTTAGATCAATCAGTTCTTCTATATGAAACGAAAAACATTTCCATGAGCTAACGGTTTCAGATATTTATCAGAAGCTGCCTTTATTGACTTCATATTGAAGATCAAATGACGAGTCAGAAAGAATTAGCAGCACAAAAAACCCCTCTGCGAATGAACTATTCAAAACTCTGTCGCTCAGCATGTGTGCTGGACACATGCTGAGGAGAACATCGGGTAACGTCAAGTGGAATACTAGCCCTCGAGTCGTACCCAAATGAGAACCAACGAGTTAGGCGTTTGAGGGCAGCATAGGGAATATTGTGTAAGGGGTGTGGAGTCCTCAAAAATAAACTTATCCAATTTTTACTACTAAGTGAGAAATGAACATATTGTACATCACTTTGTTTTAACCATAAACTCTGTACTTTGAACTTTACCTCGGGTTTTGAATGAAAATATAGTTCTGCCTCCGACTCTCCGTCTTCTCCACCATCCCAACTGCCATCGATCAATTTTAATCACCTGCTTTCTATCTCAAATTTTTGCAGGAGCACCGTAGTTTCTTCCTATGTACTTTGGTCGACCTCCAGCAGCGTCAACATTGGAGAATTAATGTTGGAGCAGTCTTCCGAAGCGCCTCTGGAGTCTATTACGTTTATTGTGGATTTTGGATCTTTGTAAACCCAAGTAACGAAACTTTAATATATTCTTCCCGTAACTAAACTGATTTGGTATTTTATTTTCTATTTGAATTTGGGATACTAAGCTAACAGAGTAAAAGGTCCACCACAGGGGTAAATGAGAGACGATGGGCAATCGTGTAGTCAACTAAAGAAGACTGATGAGAATAGGACACAGGCGAAATGTTTGGTTGAAG